TCTAAATGAGTTTCGACCGCTGAAATTGATTTCGATGGCGCCTTGTGACGATACACTTTTCAACCCAATACACATGATTTAGGATTAGCAGTAAATCGGAAGTCACGTAGGCCAAACGGACGGATAAGTATGATCCCACTTCTGATGTTATAAAATGTTAAAATGCGTCAATTAATAAGATTATCAGGAATTTAATTAATTATGAAGTTCTGGCGAGTCGAACCACCTGGTTGCTTGTTGTCTCCTCGGCTGGTTGACGCCTCGAAAGGTTCGACCCCCTTTTTACCTGGTTTTCCCTGCGAAAGTCTACAAAACACATACCAGGGGCTTGATTCTAAATAAGTTTCGACCGCTGAAATTGATTTCGATGGCGCCTTGTGACGATACACTTTTCAACCCAATACACATGCTTTAGGATTAGCAGTAAATCGGAAGTCACGTAGGCCAAAAGGACGCATAAGTTTGATCCCACTTCTGATGTTATAAAATGTTAAAACGCGTCAATTAATAAGATTATCAGGAATTTCATTAATTATGAAGTACTGGCGAGTCGAACCACTTGGTTGCTTGTTGTCTCCTCGCCAGGTTGACGCCTCGAAAGGGTCGACCCCCTTTTTACCTCGTTTTCCCTGCGAAAGTCTACAAAACAAATACCATGGGCTTGATTCTAAATGAGTTTCGACCGCTGAAATTGATTTCGATGGCGCCTTGTGACGATACACTTTTCAACCCAATACACATGATTTAGGATTAGCAGTAAATCGGAAGTCACGTAGGCCAAACGGACGGATAAGTATGATCCCACTTCTGATGTTATACAATGTTAAAATGCGTCAATTAATAAGATTATCAGGAATTTCATTAGTTATGAAGTTCTGACGAGTCGAAAGACCTGGTTGCTTGTTGTCTCCTCGCCTTGTTGACGCCTCGAAAGGGTCAATCCCCTTTTTACCTGGTTTTCCCTGCGAAAGTCCACAAAACAAAAATACCATGGGCTTGATTCTAAATGAGTTTCGACCGCTGAAATTGATTTCGATGGCGCCTTGTGACGATACACTTTTCAACCCAATACACATGATTTAGGATTAGCAGTAAATCGGAAGTCACGTAGGCCAAACGGACGGATAAGTAAGATCCCACTTCTGATGTTATAAAATGTTAAAATGCGTCAATTAATACGATTATCAGGAATTTCATTAGTTATGAAGTTCTGACGAGTCGAACCACCTGGTTGCTTGTTGTCTCCTCGGCTGGTTGACGCCACGAAAGGGTCGACCCCCTTTTTACCTGGTTTTCCGCGAAAGTCTACAAAACACATACCAGGGGCTTGATTCCAAATGAGTTTCGACCGCTGAAATTGATTTCGATGGCGCCTTGTGACGATACACTTTTCAACCCAATACACATGATTTAGGATTAGCAGTAAATCGGAAGTCACGTAGGTCAAAAGGACGGATAAGTTTGATCCCACTTCTGATATTATAAAATGTTGAAATGCGTCAATTAATAAGATTATCAGAAATTTCATTAGTTATGAAGTTCTGACTAGTCGACCCCCTTTTTACCTGGTTTTCCCTGCGAAAGTCTACAAAACAAATACCATGGGCTTGATTCTAAATGAGTTTCGACCGCTGAAAATGATTTCGATGGCGCCTTGTGACGATACACTTTTCAACCCAATACACATGACTTAGGATTAGCAGTAAATCGGAAGTCACGTAGGCCAAAAGGACGGATAAGTTTCATCCCACTTCTGATGTTATAAAATGTTAAAATGCGTCAATTAATAAGATTATCAGGAATTTTATTAATTATGAAGTTCTGGCGAGTCGAACCACCTGGTTGCTTGTTGTCTCCTCGCCTGGTTGACGCCTCGAAAGGGTCGACCCCCTTTTTACCTGGTTTTCCCTGCGAAAACAAAACAAATACAATGGGCTTGATTCTAAATGAGTTTCGACCGCTGAAATTGATTTCGATGGCGCCTTGTGACGATACACTTTTCAACCCAATACACATGATTTAGGATTAGCAGTAAATCGGAAGTCACGTATGCCAAAAGGACGGATAAGTTTGATCCCACTTCTGATGTTATAAAATGTTAAAATGCATCAATTAATAAGATTATCAGGAATTTCATTAGTTATGAAGTACTGGCGAGTCGAACCACTTGGTTGCTTGTTGTCTCCTCGCCTGGTTGACGCCTCGAAAGGGTCGACCCCCTTTTTACCTGGTTTTCCCTGCGAAAGTCTACAAAACAAATACCATGGGCTTGATTCTAAATAAGATTCGACCGCTGAAATTGATTTCGATGGCGCCTTGCGACGATACACTTTTCAACCCAATACACATGATTTAGGATTAGCAGTAAATCGGAAGTCACGTAGGCCAAAAGGACGGATAAGTTTCATCCCACTTCTGATGTTATAAAATGTTAAAATGCGTCAATTAATAGGATTATCAGGAATTTCATTAATTATGAAGTTCTGGCCAGTCGAACCACCTGGCTGCTTGTTGTCTCCCCGAAAGAGTCTGATCCCTTTTTACCTGGATTTCCCTGCGAAAGTCTACAAAACAAATACCATGTGCTTGATTCTAAATGAGTTTCGACCGCTGAAATTGATTTCGATGGCCCTTGTGACGATACACTTTTCAACCCAATACACATGATTTAGGATTAGCAGTAATTCGGAAGTCACGTAGGCCAAAAGGACGGATAAGTTTGATCCCACTTCTGATGTTATAAAATGTTAAAATGCGTCAATTAATAGGATTATCAGGAATTTCATTAATTATGAAGTACTGGCGAGTCGAACCACTTGGTTACTTGTTGTCTCCTCGCCTGGTTGACGCCTCGAAAGGGTCGACCCCCTTTTTACCTGGTTTTCCCTGCGAAAGTCTACAAAACAAATACCATGGGCTTGATTCTAAATGAGTTTCGACCGCTGAAATTGATTTCGATGGCGCCTTGTGACGATACACTTTTCAACCCAATACACATGATTTAGGATTAGCAGTAAATCGGAAGTCACGTAGGCCAAACGGACGGATAAGTATGATCCCACTTCTGATGTTATAAAATGTTAAAATGCGTCAATTAATAAGATTATCAGGAATTTCATTAATTATGAAGTTCTGGCGAGTCGAACCACCTGGTTGCTTGTTGTCTCCTCGCCTGGTTGACGCCTCGAAAGGGTCGACCCCCTTTTTACCTGGTTTTCCCTGCGAAAGTCTACAAAACAAATACCATGGACTTGATTCTAAATGAGTTTCGACCGCTGAAATTAATTTTGATGGCGCCTTGTGACGATACACTTTTCAACCCAATACACATGATTTAGGATTAGCAGTAAATCGGAAGTCACGTAGGCCAAACGGACGGATAAGTATGATCCCACTTCTGATGTTATAAAATGTTAAAATGCGTCAATTAATAAGATTATCAGGAATTTCATTAGTTATGAAGTACTGGCGAGTCGAACCACCTGGTTGCTTGTTGTGTCCTCGCCTGGTTGACGCCTCGAAAGGGTCGACCCCCTTTTTACCTGATTTTCCCTGCAAATACCATGGGCTTGATTCTAAATGAGTTTCGACCGCTGAAATTGATTTAGATGGCGCCTTGTGACGATATACTTGATTCGCTATGATAATTTCAACGGTTTAAACTCACTTAGAATCAAGCCACAGATGTGAACAACTTGAAAATAATCATAAATGCGTCGTTTTTTGAATACTCCTTCATATCTCTCTGGCCAATCGAAACCGCCTAGTGTTGAACAAATGCTCAGTACAGTGACATTGACAATATATATATATAGTTGACAAGTACTCTAGACCAGTGGTCGCCAACCTTTTGTCAAAAACCAAAATCCGCCAACGTTGATTCTTTACTGCGTCTGAAATATTCATTTTTAGAGCGTTAGTGAATTAAAAAAAAGCAGTATAAAAACCGGAATGTCCAAGTAATGAGGCTGAAAATTTTTTCACTTGTTATTTACAGTAAGATAAATACATTCACCAACTTTTATTAAAATAAAACCATTTAAACTGGATGTTCGGATTTATATGTCACTTAGTATATCTATAAATTAAAATGATATTAAAAAAATAAACCCAGATACGTAAAAAGGTGAAGAAATATTTAAACAAATCTATTGAAATATAGCTGGGGAGTTTTTTAGGAGTTTTCATTCCTCTGTACAAAGCAGCCAGAATAAAAAATATAATATTACACAGAAAATATTAATTTTGCAATTGACAGGCTTTGACAATTGCTTAGCAAGTAATCATTCCATTGCTCTAGTAATCACGGCCTGTACAATACTTACAACGGGTTTTGTGAAGCTTATACAATTTTCAGTCAAACATCAAATGTTTTGTTTATGTCTAAAAATTGTAATCTTACATAAAAGAATTTTACTACGCCACTGGAAAATACGCGAAAGATTGTATAAGAGCCAGTTTTTAGCTTTGTGATATATTAAAGGATAACACGAGATATTTTCAATTTCGTCCAGTATCGCAGAAACCAAGCGGGCTATGAAAGTTTTGTTTATACAATCTTTCTTTTCACAAAAAAGCAACTAGTACAGTATTGCGAAAATCGCACCTCTCTATCTTTACTAGTAAGTGATGTACCCCGTAATATCATCGGAAACGCGACACCCTGTACATGTACAGGGAAAACTGAATTTGTCTGTCGTCTAAACTTCTCTAAATTCCTCGGCCCAGTAATACAGATACCAGAACGTACGAAACTTGTCTTAGATACTATAAAAAATCAAAATCCATTGTCTAAAATTGCGTGGCAAGTACAGAGTCAATCTACTTGACCCCACTGTTTGTCACTGCTTTTACAGGAAAGCATTCCGCAGGTGCATGCTGTTGTCAAGGTCGTGGAGTCTCGCTTCGCTGAAAGCGTGCCTAGAGAACCATTACAAAGCAAACCTACCTTGAATCACTGGATGGGGCAGATAGTGTTAAGCTTTCATCTTTTGTTTCAGTTGGAGGACCAAGTTCACAACATAATGCCTAGAATACCAGTCCCTCTCCAAGAAGCCACGATGCGCTTACTCAGCAAGGACACGAGACAACGACCTACAGCGCAACTATTAACGCTTATCAAGTACTTCAGGTATGTTCGATCAAGGCAGTCATAGATTAGAGCATTCATTCGCCAGTGTATTCGTATGCATTATAAACAAAACGAGCATACCACCAATCTAAATTATTCAGGTCAATTGATCCAACAAGAGCAACCTGGAAGGTAGTCTCAGGTTTAACAAAAAACGCCACAAGTCGAAATAGCTTTCCAATATATAATTCAAGCATAATATTACTAATAAAGAGAAAGTAGTTAACGAGGTTATTAGATATTCTAGAGAGACTGCTGCAGAAATTGTTCAAAAAGCATCTCATAAAGTCCGTTGTATTCAGCATTCTATTCAACCTAACATTACGTTAAGACAACCTGAAAACAAATTGCTGCCTGAAACTGAAACTAAATTCCTAAAATTAGTTCTTAAAAAAAAGCTTAAGAACAGAAGCTCAAGTGGACCAGATAAAACATCCCAAACTTGTTGACGTATATCGTTAATCCTTTTGTTTTTTTTGTTAATTTATCATTTTGTCCTGTACATAAAAATGGTGACGCAGTTTACGAATTATTTTCCTGTTCAGTACCTTCCGTTTTTACGCATATATTTGTATAGATTCCTTCTGTTTTTAAATGAAAGGTCCATTTTATTCTAGAACCAACGCGGTTTCCAAACCGGAAAATCTACAATAATTGCTTTGATGGTGCCAAATTCACATTGTATGCTGATTATAGTTCACACGTAGTCTTGATTTTTCTTAAACTTTGCCATGGTCAAAGTCATACTCGGGTACGGTGATATAACTTGAACACCTGTAGTCGTATAGGGAAACTACATAGACATTATTGTCATGATTTTTCCCCTGATATTCAATGGTGACCTTGAAAACGAACTTGACCATGACGATCTTCATATAAGATAATTTATTTTATTATTTCGAATTTAAAAGAGTTTACAACTTCATTTTTTTATTGTTGTATAAATAATGTGAAGGTCAGGTAGGTTTTTGTATCCGGGTAGTAATCCTGAAAGAACACAACAGTGTAGGGTCCCAATGAGCGAGAAAGTCTTTAAATGACCTTGAAGGTCATGACCAAGGTGAGATCCAAGGTCACTGTTTTACGACCAGGGAAGATCATGAAAATAATAATAATAGGGAAACTACAGAGACATTATGGTCATTATTTTTCCCCTGATATTCAATGGTGACCTTGAAAACGAACTTGACCATGACGATCTTCAAGTAAGATAATTTATTTTATTATTTCGAATTTAAAAGAGTTTGAAACTTTATTTTTTTATTGTTGTATAAATAATGTGAATGTCAGGTAGGTTTTTGTATTCGGGTAGTAATCCTGAAAGAACACAAAAGTGTAGGATCACAATGAGCGAGAAAGTCTTTAAGTGACCTTGAAGGTGGTGACCAAGGTGAGATCCAAGGTCACTGTTTTATGACCAGGGAAGACCATGAAAATAATAATAATAGGGAAACTACAGAGACATTATGGTCATGATTTTTCCCCTGATATTCAATGGTGACCTTGAAAACGAACTTGACCATGACGATCTTCAAATAAGATCATTTATTTTATTATTTCGAATTTAAAGGAGTTTACAACTTTATTTTTTTATTGTTGTATGAATAATGTGAAGGTCAGGTAGGTTTTTGTATCCGGGAAGTAATCCTGAAAGAACACAAAAGTGTAGGGACCCGATGAGCGAGACAGTCTTTAAATGACCTTGAAGGTCGTGACCAAGGTGAGATCCAAGGTCACTGTTTTATGACCAGGGAAGATCATGAAAATAATAATAATAGGGAAACTACAGAGACATTATGGTCATGATTTTTCCCCTGATATCCAATGGTGACCTTGAAAACAAACTTGACCATGACGATCTTCAAGTAAGATAATTTATTTTATTATTTCGAATTTAAAAGAGTTTAAAACTTTTTTATTGTTGTATAAATAATGTGGAGGTCAGGTAGGTTTTTGTATCCGGGTAGTAATCCTGAAAGAACACAAACGTGTAGGGTCCCAATGAGCGAGAAAGTCTTTAAATGACCTTGAAGGTCATAACCAAGGTGAGATCCAAGGTCACTGTTTTATGACCGGGGAAGATCATGAAAATAATAATAATAGGGAAACTACAGAGACATTATGGTCATGATTTTTCCCCTGATATTCAATGGTGACCTTGAAAACGAACTTGACCATGACGATCTTCAAATAAGATCATTTATTTTATTATTTCGAATTTAAAGGAGTTCAAAACTTTATTTTTTTATTGTCGTATGAATAATGTGAAGGTCAGGTAGGTTTTTGTATCCGGGTAGTAATCCTGGAAGAAGACAAAAGTATAGGGTACCAATGAGCGAGAGTCTTTAAATGACCTTGAAGGTCATGACCAAGGTGAGGTCCAAGGTCACTGTTTTATGACCAGGGAAGATCATGAAAATAATGTCTTGGTAGATTCCCTAAACGACTACTGGTTTTCAAGTTACATAACCACACCTGGGTTTGAACTTGACCATGACCTCCTAAGGTCAAAAATATTCAAGACCATATTTGAACGAAAAAATGTTCACTCTTACCCAAGGTCACCATTCGAAAGCTGGTTCTTGGTTCATCCTACCATTATTACGTCAGAAATTATCGTGGCTTACGCTTACTATTGTACCCATTGCATATACAGGGTGTTCGAAAAATAGACGGAGATATCTTAGAGGGTGATTCCTTGTTAAAAATTAGTGAGAAAGTTTCTATAAATATGGGTCCGGAAATGCAGGAGTTTTCAAGATACAGGGTGATATATCAAAAAAAGTCATCAATCTCAAATAGATTCACTCGATTCTGTTGAAATTTGGCAATATTATTTGTTGTATTAAGAAGCTAATTTAATATATAGATTTAGATTATTAGGTCCAGTGGCGTCCCGGAGAGCACCTTAGCGAATATTACTGGCAGAAAAGGTACAGTCAAACTCGGGTATTCTTACGGAGCTCACTTCCCAAATTACACTGTCGTTAAAAACATCACGAAAAAGAAATAAGACAATTTACCTATTTCCCGTAATCAATAATGGTGACCTTGAAAACGAACTTGACCATGACGATCTTCATATAAGATAATTTATCTTATTATTTCGAATTTAAAAGAGTTTAAGACTTTATTTTTTTATTGTTGTATAAATAATGTGAAGGTCAGGTAGGTTTTTGTATCCGGGTAGTAATCCTGAAAGAACACAAAAGTGTAGGGTCCCAATGAGCGAGAAAGTCTTTAAATGACCTTGAAGGTCATGACCAAGGTGAGAGCCAAGGTCACTGTTTTATGACCAGGGAAGATCATGAAAATAATAATAATAGGGAAACTACAGAGACATTATGGTCATGATTTTTCTCCTGATATTCAATGGTGACCTTGAAAACGAACTTGACCATGACGATCTTCAAGTAAGATAATTTATTTTATTATTTCGAATTTAAAAGAGTTTAAAACTGTTTTATTGTTGTATAAATAATGTGGAGGTCAGGTAGGTTTTTGTATCCGGGTAGTAATCCTGAAAGAACACAAAAGTGTAGGGTCCCAATGAGCGAGAAAGTCTTTAAATGACCTTGAAGGTCATGACCAAGGTGAGATCCAAGGTCACTGTTTTATGACCAGGGAAGATCATGAAAATAATAATAATAGGGAAACTACAGAGACATTATGGTCATGATTTTTCCCCTGATATTCAATGGTGACCTTGAAAACGAACTTGACCATGACGATCTTCAAATAAGATCATTTATTTTATTATTTCGAATTTAAAGGAGTTTACAACTTTATTTTTTTATTGTTGTATGAATAATGTGAAGGTCAGGTAGGTTTTTGTATCCGGGAAGTAATCCTGAAAGAACACAAAAGTGTAGGGTCCCAATGAGCGAGAAAGTCTTTAAATGACCTTGAAGGTCATGACCAAGGTGAGATCCAAGGTCACTGTTTTATGACCAGGGAAGATCATGAAAATAATAATAATAGGGAAACTACAGAGACATTATGGTCATGATTTTTCCCCTGATATTCAATGGTGACCTTGAAAACAAACTTGACCATGACGATCTTCAAGTAAGATAATTTATTTTATTATTTCGAATTTAAAAGAGTTTAAAACTTTTTTATTGTTGTATAAATAATGTGGAGGTCAGGTAGGTTTTTGTATCCGGGTAGTAATCCTGAAAGAACACAAACGTGTAGGGTCCCAATGAGCGAGAAAGTCTTTAAATGACCTTGAAGGTCATGACCAAGGTGAGATCCAAGGTCACTGTTTTATGACCGGGGAAGATCATGAAAATAATAATAATAGGGAAACTACAGAGACATTATGGTCATGATTTTTCCCCTGATATTCAATGGTGACCTTGAAAACGAACTTGACCATGACGATCTTCAAATAAGATCATTTATTTTATTATTTCGAATTTAAAGGAGTTCAAAACTTTATTTTTTTATTGTCGTATGAATAATGTGAAGGTCAGGTAGGTTTTTGTATCCGGGTAGTAATCCTGGAAGAACACAAAAGTATAGGGTACCAATGAGCGAGAGTCTTTAAATGACCTTGAAGGTCATGACCAAGGTGAGGTCCAAGGTCACTGTTTTATGACCAGGGAAGATCATGAAAATAATGTCTTGGTAGATTCCCTAAACGACTACTGGTTTTCAAGTTACATAACCACACCTGGGTTTGAACTTGACCATGACCTCCTAACGTCAAAAATATTCAAGACCATATTTGAACGAAAAAATGTTCACTCTTACCCAAGGTCACCATTCGAAAGCTGGTTCTTGGTTCATCCTACCATTATTACGTCAGAAATTATCGTGGCTTACGCTTACTATTGTACCCATTGCATATACAGGGTGTTCGAAAAATAGACGGAGATATCTTAGAGGGTGATTCCTTGTTAAAAATTAGTGAGTAAGTTTCTATAAATATGGGTCCGGAAATGCAGGAGTTTTCAAGATACAGGGTGATATATCAAAAAAAGTCATCAATCTCA